CAAAATCATAGGTAAAAAAGATATAGCATATTCCATTTCTTTTTCCTCTTGTAAGATAGAAAACTTAGCATGCCTTTTAGTTTTAGTTGAACTAGTCCCTGTTTTTTTACCTGGCTTATTAATAAGGAATGATTTTGAAATTATTATGTTTGAAATTATATTTATAATAATTATTTAGACTAAGTCAATGCTATCTGATCTTTAAATGATTGATCTTAGTTTCCTATTCTTAAAATCCTATTTTGATTAAAATGTTGTCAACATTTTTTATTAGAAGAGTATAAAGAAATTTCTGAGCAGTTACATACATGCAAAATATTTTTTAGCTGATATCACTAATATATGGCAAATGAATAAACGGTATAAAATATACTTACCTTCAAAACTATGTATTTATTGTTCCCTGGGGACAATTAGTATTTAAAGGTAAAGCCTATATTCAGGCTAACTTTGATTTCTTTTTCTTTGTCCTCCCCATCCCTCTTTCTTTTTGATAGGTAAATGTTTTATTATTGACGTATTAAAATTTAACTATTTTTCCTGGTTGCATGCATGTATATGTTGGTTATATATGCATATTCATCATATTTCATTTTTTTTGTTATCTTCAATGTTACCTCTTTTCATTTGTTCTGATTATATTTAGGATTTCAATAGTAGAATGCCAGATTTTTTTTTTCTGACTGTTGCAATTGCAATAGTGCCACTCATTCATTTCTATCGTGGTTTCATTTTTTTCAGTGCTAATAGAGTGCTTCTCAATGCTATTTCAAATCTTAGTTTTGTATGTCAATTCTGCTTTTAATAAAAATTTTAATGTTAGTGAATTTTTTGTTTCTTTACATATCAATATCTCATTAAGCTCCATTTTTATTAATAAATCTCTCAACCAATTTCTTCTATACCTTTACTCTTCATTTTATTATTTTAGTTTCTATTTTATCTTTCTACTTTATGTAATAGAATAGTTTTTTAATGTTATAAGAAACAGTTAATCTTTATCACATTTACTTAGCATGTTTTTCAAAACTAATTTCTCCTCTTTTGTTTCAACGGTTAGTCATTTCAGTTCTTGCAGAATATTTCAACATGTGTTACTATTTTTTTAAATTACTCATTCTGTAGGAATGAAAGTTGTCTCCACTGATGACTCATAAATAATGTCTGTAGCTTCATCTGACTACCTTCATTGTTTACCTGGTTGCTGTTAGAACAGATTTCTCATTTCCACTTAGACAGTGAATAAAAACAGACTTAGTGTAATTAATTACTGGTCACTAGCAGTCACTTAATTTCTCTAAATTTTGGACTTCATTTATCTTGCTGTTGTTTTCTGTTTGACTACTCTGAGAAGGTAAGAATATTTCTAGGAGATTCTAATTAACATATAGTTCTGCTTTTGCCAGAAGTGGTCAACCTTTGTACTGTCTCATGGTATATTATCTCACATTCTCAAATGAAGCAAGTCAAATGCTTAGTCACTGTGGATTCTGGATATTTTTCATTCAAGCACATTGTAGTCTTAGAAAGAATGAAGGTAGAGGAATGGTAAAGAGGCCCTGGCTGCCAATGAAAGGTGTTGCGATGCATCAGAGAAATAATTTTGGGGGTGGGGATGGAGAGAGTTGATAAGCCTGGATCTCCCAGTTTGTCAGTAGCAGGGAAATGAGTCATCTTACCATTTTGCAGGCTGGCAGGTAATAAAGCAAGTGCCAGACTTGTTCCCCACCCTCCTTATTATTCCATTTCAGCTTAATCTGCTTTGATTTTACTTATGGATGATTGGATGAATGGTTGACAGTCTTTTTTTATTGGTAATATTATACTATAAACAAATATTATTTGATTTTTTTCACTTTAAAAAACATTTGGTTAATTTTTAAAATCACATACTACCATCCAGATTCAATTCTAAAGAAATTCAACTGGCCTGGCTAGCCTGGCTCAGTGATTGAGTGTCAACCTATGGATCAAGAGGTGATGGCTCAATTCCAGTAGGGGCATATGCCCTGATTCTAGGGTCTATCCCCAATGGGGGGCATGCAAGAGACAGCCAGTCAATGATTCTCTCTCATTGATGTGTCTATTTCTCTCTCTCTCCCTTCCCCACTGAATCAATAAAAACATGTATTTTTTTTAATATATATTTTATTGATTTTTCACAGAGAGGAAGAAAAGAGAGGGATAGAGAGTCAGAAACATTGATGAGAGAGAATCATCAATCAGTTGCTTCTTGCACACCCCCTACTGGGGATGTGCCCACAACTAAGGTACATGCCCTTGACTGGAATTGAACCCGGGACCCTTCAGTCTTCAGGCCGACGCTCTATCCATGAGCCAAACTGGTTTCTGCAAAACATGTATTTTCTAAAGAAATTCAACTAGAGTGATCTTAAAACCCTTGACTTATTTTATTATTATCATTATTCTAATATTATGGAACTAAACTCATTTACTAAATCACAGTGTCTTGACCAGCTTTTATTTTTGTTATTTATTAGCTGTTTTGGTTGTTTTAAAGTTTTCTAATTTTTCTGGCTGTCTATTTTTTAAATTCAAACTTTATACATGAATTCATTTAACTCTTCTCCATGTTAATGTTTCAATTCAGTCCTATTGTTGTAGCCCCAATGCAATGAATCATGACAACTGCCTTTCAGAAGGATGTTTTAAATGGTAAAAATAAAATATGGTTATTCAAGCCAGACATATTAATCATATTCTAAAAGGAACTTCTTATCGTATATTTAATTGTATGGGTTGGTACAATAAACATGTTCTTAGAAGCATTAAAAATTACCAATACATTCATATAATTATGGCTTTTTCCTATAAATGTCTTTTACAAACTTTCTAGGACCTCTCTCTAAATCATATTCAATCAAATTCATTATATCAATAACTTTGTCAAAGATTCAGTTGAAATTTAGATTTCTTGAGAACATATATCTTGTGCTAATGATTATGTTAATGCTAAGCATAATTAAGTAGTTATCACTACACATCTATGATATTTTTAATATTCGTTTAGCTATAAATTTAGGTTTATTTGGTGAAAAACAGAGACATGTTTCTAGCTGCTAGAACAGTGATGGATACAGTGTGGAGTGCATGCTTCCTCTCCCCTCTCCTACATCCACACAGAGGGTGCTAATGGAGCATTACCATCCCAAATTTTGCTCAGCTACACAATTCTCAAAGCAATCCTGAGAAGCCACTACCATGTAATGAAATTTCATTTATGAGATAAAACTATTTACCAATTCAGTTTCAGATCCATATAGATTTCCTCCAAAGAAGAAACTGTTATTAACTGGTTTCTGCTACTTACTTCTATTCTCAAATATTTACAAAAATAAGGGTAACCTTTGCATGTATGGGAAATTTTGCTCAGTTTTGTTACTATTGAACAGTGAAGCTGAAACTAGATAGAAATAAATATGACAATATATGTCTTGAATATTTATTTAAAAATACAAATAATAAAAGAACAAAATTACATATTCTAAAAATATAACTTTGGTAAATGTGAAATGGTTTGCTAGAATATTTTAACATACTAACACTAGAGGCCCAGTGCACAAAATTCTGCACTGGGGGGGGGGAGGGTGGCGTCCCTCAGTCCAGCCTACACCCTCTCACAATCTGAGAGGTGCTCACAGCTGTGAGCCCAGCTTCTGGCTAAGTGGTGCTCCCCCTGTGGGTTCAGGCTGAAACTAGCTTTCTGACATCCCCCAAGGAGTCCTAGATTGTAAGAGGATGCAGGCCAGGCTGAGGGAAATTGGGGCCAGGGAGAGACATGGGAGGTTGGCCAGCCAAACCCCAGGAGGCTCCAGGGCATGTCTGGCTTATCTGGGCCAGACCCCAGCAGCAAGCTAACCTACTGGTTGGAGAGCCTTCCTCCTGGTGGTCAGTGCACATCATAGTGACTGATTGAGCACCCTTAGCATATCATTAGCATATTATACTTTGATTGGTTGAATGGCTGGCCAAATGACTGGACACTTAGCATATTAGGATTTTATTATATAGGATGCTACTGGCCTATTACTTTAAAACATTTTTAATATATTTCAATTACGAGATAATTTTAAGAACTAGAGCTGAATTGATTTACTAGTGTTTTGTATTTTGTGTCCCTTTAAAGTAAGAGTGACAGAAATCACAATTTGTAAAATGCGTAGTGGGAGGTATTTTTTTTTTCAGTTGAGATTTAATCTTTGCAAAGTGCCTTGTGAATTTTTTAGCCATCTTCACTTTTCTTTTCCTAAAGGGAAATCTGGCTCCCTAAGAACTCTGCTCCTTTGCATCTCTCCTGTGGAAGCTGTTCTTCCTCCCATGTTCCTCATATGGAAAAAGATGAGGCAAGGCCAACATTCTCCTAGATTGCCACTGTCTACCAGGTTATCCTTTCCAACACAATATAAACTCCACTCTTCAGAGTCCCATGACACCTTGTTCTACTGCCTATGTTCCTTCTGTTTACTCACATCCACTGATCTTGTTCCTCCAAGTCAAGGGACTTTTGCTCCTCTTTGCACTGGGTACAGCATCATGATTTCACATTGTAACTCCAGGTCTCCCAGAGAACTCCAGGAACAGCCCACTAAAAATGTTCAAAATAAGGCCCTTTCTTCCTTTTAGTAATAGAACATTCTTTTCTTTTCTTTTTTTCTGATCTCATGGCAACACAGTAAGGGACTGCCTTTTCCAGACTTCCTTGTTGCTATATATTCAGGCCAATGGATGTGATGTGCAACTTCCAAGCCAGGATTTTGAAAGGAAGTCACTTATATAGTTTTCTTTCTGCCTCTCAGACTATTTTGCATGGCTCTTTTTTTAATCTTTCCATTAAACATTGTCTCCCACACTGGGATTCTGTTCTCAGATTGTTTCTATCTCTTCTTAATCCTCAAACTCTCTTAAGTTTCATGGGTTCAGCTATAAGATTTATTTCCTGAATTGAAGAATCACATATGCAAATACTCATCTTTACTTACATTTCGTACAAATCCTTGCGTTCCATATAGCAACAAATCAGCTACCTATTTCTTTTTCAATATTCACATTAGCAACTACATAAAACAAATGTACAGCTTCATGCACTATTATCAGTCAAACAACCTTCTAATGACCCTCAGTGTCAAGAAATAAACATTTTCTACCACCCCAAAACCCTCCATGTGCCTGCAAACCAAATTTTCTTTTCTCCAAGAATAAACACATTTCTGACATAATATCTACCCTTCCTATATAGTTTCATCATCCAGCTGTGTATCCCTAAAACATGGTTTGGTTCGTTCTCTCTCTCTCTCTCTCTCTCTCTCTCTCTCTCTCTCTCTCTCTCTCACTCTCTCTCTCTCTCTCTCTCTCCTCCCACTCTCTTTTTCTCTCTCCTGATATGTGTGTGATGAGTATATTTTTGCACCCTTTTGCAATTACTGTATTCCTACTCCACTTTCCCCCTTGCAATTTATTTGATAATGAAACTAGCTTATTTTTTCTATATCTATTTCTATCCTGATTTAATTTAACATATTCTTCTACCCTCTGTGCTTTTTGTCTATTGGTGTTTGGACCTATAAGGTTAATCAGAATAGATGAGATATTTTGGCAGGACTTTTTCATTGTAGTTTTGCATTTTTATCAGAAAGCACAAAATCCCTGGCTGCCTCTCATTTGCAATGTGAACAGCCATCAAATGTGATGCCTAGATTTTATAATTCATGAAATATTATAAAATATTGATAACCTGATAACACAATTTTATTATTTCTTCATTTACTTGTTGAAGTTGTTCTACAAAGAGAAACTTTGCCTCGTTTATAACATACTTATCCAGTGATTATTTCATATAAAAAAGATTTTAAAACATTTGAGTGTGTACTACATTAACCTTGTGTTGTACAAAGGTGATTAGTGACTTGTATGTGTATATCTGTGTCACTCTGATTTCATGCATTTAAACATAGTTTATGTTTTCCTCCATTTCACTTATTTTACTTACTGGCCAATAGAGCCTTTCCGAGTTGGCTCTCAAGTCCTATTAATGCACACTTGCATTCTCTGATAGCTTCCTTACTAACTAGTGATGTAGGGTCTCCTAGATTCCTCTTATATATTATCTTTCCTAGACCCCAAAATCGACTGGTCCTTCTAGTAGCCCTGCTTTCTTTCAGTGGGAAGTGGTATTTCACTATCACAATCCAGATGTTAGGAGATGGGCATTATTTCTAGGCCTTTCCAAGCAAGAAATAGATGATAGATAGATGATAATAGATTATAGATAGATAGACAGATAGATAGAAGATAGATAGATAGATGATAGATTAGATAGTTGATAGATTAAATAGATGATAGATAGAGATTTTTTAAAAACTTATGAGTTCATTCTAATACTTCCAGTCCTTATCTGTACTACAAAGAATACTAATTCTCAGGGGGGCACTGGGGATGCTAGAATTACTTATTTGTTTTATCCAACATTACACACAAAATATTCTGACAATGATAATTCTAACACAGTCACTTATATGAACAATAAAAAGAGGTTTCAACAGGTTTGTTCGTGTTCTTGTTACTTTATCCACCTTTGATTAAAGTTGAACTGTACCCATGTTGTCAGTGGAGATAGCCATATTATACTGTTTACTATATCCTTCATCTATCTGAGTTATCCAAGAAAATATGTATATTTTAATGCTCACCAAGAGTCTTTATGTTGATGTATCTTTGTCATTTGATTATCTGAAGTTTACTCTCTAACAGGCTTTTAATGCATAATCTTACGTGATCATAACAGTTTGAGAAATTTTAATTTGGACATCAGTTTCAGTGACTATATATTCTTGGTTCAAATGTTCTTTCACTGAGTACCTTAAATATATCACTACTCAATTTTCTTCTAGCACAAGGTGCCAAAAGTCTGATGACAGTTCTCTTTCCTGTTAGGTTATAGACCATGTTGGTCCTTGTCACTGCTATTATTCAGAACCTAGTACTTAGTTTATAGCAGAGTATCTTTTCATGACTTCATCTTTCTTCCATCTTTTTTTAAACCTTATTCCTTATTGTGTTTCACATTTTCTTTATCCCTTCTTTTTTCTACTTCTGTGTATCTGACTTTTTTTCTCCTTTTCTTTGCAAAATCCATATCTTATAGCTGGGAAACAAGTCTGGCCCCTCTTTTCAAACCTGTCTGGAAAACTTCTGCTCTTCCTTCTCCTAGCTTAGGAATCTTTTCTTCTTGAAACTTTACCCAACTCACTTTGACAAATTGCTATCTTCTTTTCTTGTGCTATTGTTTATAAGGTTAAGGTAATGGATTTCTTTGAGCATTCAAAAAAATATTAAAAATAATTGTCTAGCCCTAGTCGGTTTGGCTCAGTGGATAGAATGTTGACCTGAGGACTGAAGGGTCTCAGGTTTGATTCTGGTCAAGGGCATTTGTCAGGTCGTGGGCTCAATCCTCAATAGGGGGAGTCAGCTGAACATGATTCTCTCTCATTTTCTCTCTCTCTTTTTCCCTCTCTCTCCCCCCCTCCACTCTGAAATTTAAAAAAAAGAAATTAAATTAAAAGAAAATAAGCTAAAAGTAAAAATAATTATTTTCTCAGCCATTCATTACTAGTAGAACACTCAATATCAGACCCTTAAGTAGGGAAAGGATATCTGGAAAACAGTATCCACAACTGCTTTGATCATTTTAAAATGTTTTCCCTCATCACTAAATTTCAAATTAGAAATAGAAAAAAAAGGGAGGCAGGAAACTTAAATTCACCTGCAAACTTTAATCATTTTTCACTATATAATCTTATATTTTCACAGGTTTCAGGGGTTAAAATATGAGAGTGTGGGGATGTGGGGACATTATTCTTCTTACTATATGTTTTCTGTAGTTTTACACTTATTTAAATCAGGAACTGATAACCTCTCACTGATGTCTTAATTGCTGCTAATCTGTATGTATAGTTCTGCCTCAAATTCAAGTTATATGACTTTATTTTATGCATTACTTTATAATGAAAAGTGTAGATATTCACCAGCTGACACTAAATGGCATTTCTATTAGCTTATAAACTAAGAAATACTCCAGTTTTCAAATTATGTTAGTCAAGAGCTTTTAAATTATGAGAAATTTTTTAAAAATCACAAGTGTAATATTGAAAAAGTAGATCTGGAAGAGGTTTAGTTTTTATTACATTTTCAATGTGAGTAAGTATTTCTCATTCCCCTTTATCTTATGATAATGAGATTTTTTTTAAAGACAGGCTTCTAACCCATTTCAAGTTTTAGTGCTGTCAAAAATGCTTGAAAAAATGTTCCTAGTAATAAAAATTGAAAAGTTTTCAACTCTTCTCAGTAGCGATAGTTCAAGTTGAATTAATATGTGTGTCAGTGCCTAAATCCAGGGATGCTCTAAATGTCCTATGAATATGGCAAGATCACCCATACACCTCTCTTTATTCCTGTTTAAAACAAAGCGATAAACACAAATTCTGAGACTTTTGGTAAGTTGATTCACCTTTCAGTTTCCTCATTTGTTAAATGGTAAAAATAATATCACAGGCTGAGATGAGAAATAAATATGTTAACATATGTAAATATGTGCATGTTACATATGTACATCAGTAGCACAGAGGTCTTAAAAATGTTAAATATGATTATTATATGAGGCACAGCCTAAATGAATCTTTAATTTCAGCATCAGATCACTAGTGCCTTTTTTAAATACCTTCATTAATGACTCTACAAAATTAAGAAAAATTTTTTAAAACTCAGTCAGTTCTTTTGAAGCCACTGAAAACTGTAAAAGTCATTTAGATATAGTCAGCCACATTTACTGTGTTTAAGCTAAGAGAGAGCAGACTAAGATAAGGAAGCCAGGAACAGGATATTAACTCTGATTGTCAAAGTCATCCTCTGCTGACAAATTCTGAGGTCCCTGACAGAGAAAAATGGAGGATAATTTGCTTTTATGAAACACAGCTTTCATTAAAAAATGGAGATTAAAAACTAGCAAGGACTAAAAAGGGGGATTTTGGTTATGTATCACTGTAACCTAGGGGTGTCGAACTCAATCAGAGAAGGGGCCAAAATCTAAAATCCAGCCTAAATCGCGGGCTGAACAGTCATAAACAGTCATTGTGATGGAAACGCAGCAGAGTGCAGTGATGACAGTGCGGTGCGGGCCACATTGCAAGGCCTGGCGGGACGGATTTGGCCCGCGGGCCTTGTGTTTGACACATGTGCTGTAACCCATGAATTAGAATAGTTTAGAATCATGTTTTATAGATCGATTCTCTGGTTAACATTTTCTTCTATACACTTTTTAGTTGCATCCCTTGAAAATCTCTCACAGATTTATCAGTTCAATTTCTTGAGTAGAATATAATAAATCTGTTTACTTTTTAGTGTTATCAATTTAAGTCAATTTTTAGGGCCAATATAATAAAAATCAATTACCATTTCAAAACAGACTGATAATCTTATTTGATAGTTAACTATTATCATAATTATCCTTTAAATTTTTTATCTTTAACATACATCCATATAATCATTAATGAAATTAAAAGATCCATAAAAGTGACACAAATACTTTTCAATTTTATTTTCTGATACTCAGTTATGATTTATAAACTATAATTTATAAATTTTAAAAATGATAATTTTCAAAATTTATTAGATCATTTGTTTCAAAAAATACAAATGAGCAACAACTCTGAGTAAAGCAAAGTATAAGAATACAGTGACTGGAATGCCATAATGACCAGAACGACCAGTCACTATGACACCCACTGCAAACATCAAACCAGCCTGATTGGACTCTCCCACCCCGATAGATGTGGCCCCTCCCTCCCTCCTGGCCAGCCCTGTCCCTCATGAGCCCCCACCACCCCATCAGCCCGCAGACCCTCCCCCTGGCCGACCCCACCCATGATCGCCCCCCACTACCCCAATAGGGTGCAGAGCCGGCTAGCCAACCTCCTAAAGCCCCTGCCCCAGGCCAGCCCTGCAACAAGTTGG